TGAATCTCGATGGCGTTTTCATCGTGAGCCGCCCAGGTGCTTTCCTGCAGTAGGAAGGGTCTGCTTTGCCCGGATCTTCGGCCGAAAGGACGCTTTCTGCTTTCCCTGGCAGCAGCTCGGCGCCGCTGGGGGAGCAGACTGCTCTGAGCCGTGCTCCCTTTGTTCGCTGCGATTCACCCTCATCGAACTAGTCTCCAGGAACTGCCATTAAGCATTTTGCAATAAGTTTGGCAGGGCGTTGGGAATTCAATAGCCAAATAAATTCATGGGGTAGGGATATATATATTTTATTTTTTTTAACATATTGGGATTTGGGTATGACATTCTGTGCTATAAATAGGAGTGGATCAGAGGAGTTAAGAGTTCTGTTCAGGGTCTGGCGTGAACAAAACCTGAACCAGATGCTGAAAACTTTTCTTTCTGGCTTTTTCTTCCCTGGGGGAAGCAACCATGTCAGATTCCTGAGATTTTGCCATACCCTGTTTGTTTTTCCTGGCTTTTCATCTCCCACTGTTGAGATCTTAACTGGGCATGATCCCTTTACTCGGCCAAGTCGACTGACTGGCCTTAACATATTTAATCAAGGGAAAGGTGTCGCTGTGCTGTGACTTGTGGGGATGCAGAAGAATGTCTTACCCACATGGTGCCTCGCTCGGTAACCTCACAAGTTGACCACAGTTTGGTCCGTCAGTGGAGATAAACACTGTATTAAAGAATATGTACCGGTATTAACTTAATGTGTAGTAAATAAGCCCAGTAAATACTTCACATGGGTGGTAGAGGTGTGCTGTGCCAGAAGTCACTCTGGTATCTGACCTCCAAGCCACTTAGCAGCAGCCAGTTCCACTCTAGCTCATTTTGCTGACTCCTGCATACTGAATCCCACCGCTGCGTTAACAACACTGGGAGCGTGTGAGCCCGCTTCTGCCTGTGCAGGCTGTTGTCAGCTGCAATGACTGTGCTCACAGGTACTCGAGGAGAGCTGAACTCACATGAATGAGAATCACCTTTCACTTGGCTAATTTTCGCGCTGCTGCTGCCTTACAGAGTAGCTCAGAGAACCTGTAAGAGTGGCTTCTCGGGATGTTTCTGTCAGGTAGAGAAGCTGCTGGGATTTGGGAGGGGGAATGGCCCTTGGTTTTCAGAAGTGGCACCCTGGAGGGCATTAGCTCTGTGGAAGATGTGGGTGGAGCAAGCGTGAAAATACATTGGACCACGAAGTGGGAAAGATTTTTGTTGGTGTCCTGTGTGAGAGGGTGGCCGTTTCTAGCTGAGGGTCACTGTTGTCTGTGTTGCCTTGGGGTCATGCAAATGTGTTGTGGCAAAGTTGCAGCCTAGTCTGAGGCTTGCTGCAGCCTTTTCTGGATGGTGCTACTGTGGAGTCTGCTGCCTGAGCCTTGTGCTAGCAGCAGGGAGAGATTTATCTGCACACAGCAGTGCAAATCTGGATTAAACTGGGGATGACAACAGGCCACATGCCTTTGAAGCCTGGACAAAGCAGCGTGAGGTGTGACCAGTGTGCTGTTCTTCCAGCTGGGGTTAGCCTGTTCCCACAGGCACAATACCCAGGTCTCAGGGACCTGGCCATTGACAGCTTCATACTCGAGTCTTGTGGAGCATAATGTGAGGTGGAGAGGAGGAAAGAAAAGACAAGAGTACGTGGGGATCAGTGAATGTGGTGCTTGTAGACAAGGGGCTGCATTACCTGAGAGTTAAGGGGTTCACTGCTCTGCCACTGGTTCCTGGTGTGAGGGCATCGGTTCCCCATCTGCGGTTTGGGACTAAGCTGCTTCTCACAGCTCCTCAACTCCCCTTTGGGCCTGTTCGGGAATGGAAACTGTCTCCGTACGTGCACAGCACCTGGCGCAGTGGGGCCATGTCTGGGTTGAGATCTCTTTCCAGCGCTGTCATCCTGTGCATTTTTAGAGAGGTGTAGAAACCTCCCCATCTTGGCGTGCTTTTGTCTTCTCTCGAGAAATGGCATGAGCTGCTGAGCTTTCTGGTGATTTATAGCCACCAGGCAGCTGGGGCTGCCCCTTGGAGCTCTGTGCCTTTTGAGTCCACTGTCCTGACCATGTGCAGGTGGAGCCACAGCTAGAAGTCTGCTATTGCATTTAGTGCTCAGCTGGCTGGGAGAGAGTGGGAGTCAGAAGTTGCTTGGGTGCTGTTTGCTAAAGCGATGCTCTAGTGATATTTCAGCTACAGTTGCTGTTTCTTTTCAGGACACAGGTATGGGGATGACCCAGGAGGAGCTGGTTTCTAACCTCGGTACCATTGCTCGGTCAGGCTCAAAGGTAACTTGGGATGAGGCACCCCTTCTCCCCTGCTTAGAAGAGTCGTCCTCAATTACAGCCACTTTTGTCCTCCCAGTAATTTCTCATTCTGTTTTGTCCTTGGCCCCCAGCCCAGCTGTGAAATTACACCCCTTTTGGAAGGTGAAACCTATCTGTGGAGTCTTCCAGCTCTTGGTGGTCTCTGCTGTGTGCTGTGGGAGGGCCGTGATGCCCAAGCAGTGCTCGCGGGCCCCGTGTGTAATGCTGCTGCATGTGGCTGCCCTCGCTCCCAAATGCCTTCCTCCCCAAGCCGTCGTTGTGGAGGGGCATGTGCTCGCTCAGCATTCACCCTGTGTCTAGGCGGGCAGCAGCTGTGTCCTCATGCTGGCAAGTTGTGACATATATGTACCTGATTTTTTGTTTTCATCTCTGAATTCCCCATTTTAAGGTTTCATGCTCCTGATTGAGCCCTTGCTTGTTTTCCTTTACTGCTAGTGGCAGTGAGTGTTGCCCTAAGCAATGCTCCCTTTTTCTAGAGGTGCAGTTCCTGTGGGAGAAACACTTTTCCTTGGGCACCATCCTCAGGGATGAGGGTGCTGGATTGCCAGGCTGTGGTACCTGGTGTAGGGCTGCACCAGTGCATGAGGAGCCCAGCTGGAGGATGGATTGCAGCCTCCCAGTAGCACCCGAAGTCACTGTGTGCTGTTTGATGTCTCCTTTGTTCCTCCAGGCTTTTCTGGATGCTCTGCAGAGCCAAGCTGAAGCAAGTAGTAAAATCATTGGCCAGTTTGGAGTGGGTTTCTACTCAGCCTTCATGGTGGCCGATAAAGTGGAGGTGTTCTCACAGTCTGCAGAGCCGGGGAGCCCGGGCTACCACTGGTCTTCAGACGGGTAAGGCTGCAGAATGGGATGGAGGTGGTGATGGGCTGTGTCCAGAGCAGGCATGGACTGAAAGCTGTGCAAAGCAAGACAGGGCTTGTGTGATCTTTCATGACCAGGCTTACTGGTTTAGATCCTGCTGAGGTTGTACATGGCAACAAAGTGTGGCCAAATGTGCCAGGCTGAAAACCACAGGGACAAGCTTGCTTTGTCAGAGCAAGCGTGTTGTGGACAAAGAGAGTACCTGCCTCTCCTGTTCCTTCTCTGCTGGCAGGCAATCATCTTAGCAGTGCCCCAGACTGGAGAGACCAACTGAGTCTCTTTGGGCTACTCATCCCTTGGGTTTTTCTGGAGGGCACCCCCAGCAGGCAGGGCTCGCGCAGTGCTGTGGCTCTGTAGGCACTTGTCTTCTGACGGTCGGATCTGTGTGCTCCGTGGCTTTTTGCTGGAAGTTGCAAACATCTGTGATGGCAAAGCTGTGCACTGCTGGACCGTGTTGAAATTGGAGCTTCTGGGGGGGTGACAAGCTCTGCATCCCCTTAAAACCCCCTACGAATAAAGAACGTACTAATTTATTCAAATTCTTGAAAAAACATCTTGTAGCTGAGACCTCAGACTGTCTTGGGCTGCAGTCAGGCTGCTGTGGGCTGCAGCCTGTACACTTTGAAGGCTTGCTTGTCTGTCATCGCTGTGGGTTCTCTCCCCTGGGTCAGTGCTCTCACCAGCGTTTGATCCCCACGTGGCATTCACTTAGCAATAGGGCAGGAATGGTCATCCAGAGCGGGCTGTCCTCAGCAGAGCCCAGCTGCTTTCCATTGTGTCCAGTTACTGCATTCTCCCATGGACGTACGAGTGAGGGCCCACGAACAAGTCAGAGTTGTCAAGGGAGAAGGCAGGAGCCTTGGGTGTTGCAGTCGCTGTAGGAAGTGTAGGAGAGGAGTTGAAGGCTAAGCTCGCGCAGCTCCAAGTTTGTTTCCTTTTCAGTCGAGGCTGCTGGTGCCTTTGCAGCGCAGTGTGTCCTGGGTCTGGAGTCTGCAGGGAAGACAGCCACATGTTTGGGGGGGTTCTCAGAGGCGCAGGGAGCCTTCAGGCGTTCAAGATTTTTTTGCCTTTTCCTCTTGGTGCTGAAGTGTTGTGTGTGCTCTCCGTTTAGTAAAACATTTTTATGTCCCATTGTGGATGTATCTGAGGCACACGCTGACACGGGATCTGTTTCTAATCCTAGTTCAGGAATGTTTGAGATTGCAGAAGCATCTGGTGTCAGAACTGGGACTAAGATTATTGTACATCTCAAAGAAGACTGCAAGGAGTTTGCAAATGAAGACCGAGTCAAGGGTGAGTGGAGGAGGGAAATGCCGTTACCTGCTGAGGGGCTGTGTGAAGTCTGTTGGTGCGCCGCGAGTGGGGGGGGAATTCACAGTGGTTTTCCTCTCCTGGAACACCTTTCGCCTGCTGTTACTGAGGAAATTCTTACTGTGTTGTTTTCACAAACGTGACTCTTCCATTCCAGAGGTGGTGACAAAATACAGCAACTTCATCAGCTTCCCACTGTACCTCAATGGGAGAAGGATTAACACCTTGCAGGTGAGTAGGAGGGCCGCAGGCAGGTCACTCATGGAGATAAACCATTGTAACCCTCAACTGGAGCCGGGAAACAGCATAAAGCCTCTAGGGATGTTAGTTTAGCACGGCATAGCCGGTGCCAGGGAGTGGTCGGTTTTTAGTGGCTCAGCTCACAGCCTGGGTTTCAAGCTGAGGACTGCTTGATGTTGGCGTTTTCGGACCACTTCAAATTACAGTGCAGCCAGGTCCGTTTTAGTCAAAAGTTCTTGGCACAATTGCAGGAATCACCTCGGTGATATTAATTATCTTTAAAACAAAAATCTAGGAATCATTTTTCTCCAGCATCTCCTTTTCTGGTTGTTTAAAGCTTCCTCACCTAAGAGAGCAGGTAAAGAGCATGTGTGTGTTTTTTTTGTTTCCTGGAATGCAGGACTGAATGTACAGACTTTCAAGACTGTACTTAAATATTTTATCATGTTAATTTATCTAATGTTCTGTAATTGGTGTTATTAGTCATGGATATTTATTTGGATTTCTGCATAATAGTGTTTCTGTTCCAAAGGCTTTCTAGCTGTTTCCTTTAAATTACAAAACCAGAAACAGCTTTAAACGGCTGTTTTCTCTTTCTACCTGACAATCGATAGAACAGAATCCCTAGAGAAAAGCAGTACTAGAGTAAGGGGTAAAATGTCCTTAATAGAGTCATGTACTTTTATCTTCTTATCAGAAAGTCCGTTCTCCCTTGGGATACGGCCACAGCTTTATTCTCATTATGCTCACATTTCAGGGGTTTTCTTTATCCAGGATCTTGGTTTTGCGTTTTTCCACACATCAGCATCAGTTCGCTGTAAACAGAGCCATAGTTAGCTCCCTGGTGTGGGCTTTCCTAGATAAGCTCTTGAATGTTTGCCGTGGTGCTGACACTGTGGAGTTAGAGGCTTTTCTGGTCTAACTGTGGTAACTGTAGCTACAAGTAAGCGCCTGGGAAAGCAGCACTTTACCTAACAACAGCTGCTCTAAAGCACCTTAGTACCCGGTTGAGTCCGTAATCCTACCTGTGATCCTGCAAACCCTCCAGGATACTTGCATGTGCTGGAAATGTTATGAAGCCACTTGTGGAATAAGGCTTTGAGGCAGAAGAGGCTTTAAGGAGTGTGGCAGCATGGCAGGGTTGAATCCCTTGGACTCTGATAGGTGGAGGGTGGGCTGGATGTTTGTATTGGTCCCAGTAACTGCTCATTAGGGCTTCAGTGGCAAAGAGTGGCAGTGAGGGCAGTGGGCTTCACCCGGCTGGAAACGTGAGATTCTTTAGCTGGCTCCTAATGCTTGTTAAACGGGCAGAACCTCCCACATCTTTGCTAGATGCTAGTCTTTTGCTGAGGTGCTGAAAACTTAAATGTGATATGAGCATGGGCTGAGTGCTCCAGAAAGCACGGGGAGGGGTTTGAGCAGCAGCAGGTGGAAAGCACGGCTACGGGAAAGGACCTGCTCTGGAGCTCATGACTTCGGTTCACGTGTTGATGTGTGAAATGGTACTGGTGGAGCACTTCCTGACCCTGCAGCAGGGATGGCCGAGTGGTTCACAAAGCATCTCCGGAATTGCTCCAGAACAAATCAGCAGAAAACAGGCAATCCAGGCATTGCTTCACCAGCACTCAGCTGACCTTGTGGTGGGATAGTAACCTCCATCAGGGAGGCAGGCTGGTTGCAACAGACCCACTTAAACTTTCACTTTTCCTTTGCTGGTCAGGCCTTGAGGTACTTGACCAGTACTCCCAGTCAGCTGAGCTGTGGTAACTCTCCAGGATGCTCTTGGCCAGTAGCAAGTGTGAGGCAATGGAGGTTATCCAAACCCCTTTTGTTTTGGGCTAAACAAAGCTGCCTTTGCAGGGCAAGAGTACCTCTGTGAGAGGTGACCTGAGGTCAGCTGAGGGTCAGTAATTTGTTAGTCTGTGATAATGTGCCTGAACCGTACATAATACATCCCACTGCCCCCGGGCTGTGCAGAGGAGACTGTCTGTTTGAAAGTCTTACTTCCTTGCTCCGGCATCCTGGAAGGAAAGAGCAGGCCTCTGCTGTGAGGCTGCAGAGCTTGAGAGCTGATGGGAACTTATCTCCCTGCTCCTCCACAGGCACTCTGGATGCTGGACCCCAAGGACATCAGCGAGTGGCAGCACGAGGAGTTCTACCGCTTCATAGCGCAGGCTTACGACAAGCCCCGCTACGTCCTGCACTACAAGACCGACGCTCCCCTCAACATCCGCAGCATCTTCTACGTGCCTGAGCAAGTACGTGCCCTTCTGTCCAGGGAACAGTGGGACATCTGCCCAGTTGCTCTGAAGAAGAGGAAATCTGAGAGCTCCATAGGGAAGGGTGGCAGCTAAGGCTGCAGAACAGCAAGGAGAAATATCCAGCGTGGCATCTCTGCAGTGGGCTGGGTGCCACAGGATAGTTGCTGGGATATTGAGCCACAATAGGAGTGGGGAGGTGGCTCAGGGAGGTCCCTGGGGAAGACAGCCAAGGTTTCAGCTCTCACTGGGTTCAGCACTGGTAGGGAAGACCACAGTGTGACCCGGTCAGCTGGTGCAGCCACAGAGATACTGCAGCACAGTGTGCAGCTGGGCACCCTGCACAGCGCTGGTGTTACCCTTCTGTCTTTTGTTCCTGCAGAAACCATCCATGTTTGACATCAGCAGGGAACTGGGCTCCAGCGTTGCCCTCTACAGCCGCAAAATTCTCATCCAAACCAAAGCTGCCGACATCCTGCCTAAATGGCTGCGTTTTCTTAGAGGTGTGTGCTGGGACCAAGAATAGTGGGCTCTGGACCATGGCTTCCACAGGGGGTGAGGCAAGGGGCTGCTTTCCCGATCCTGGCGCTCCTCTGCCTCACTGTTCAAGGGTTGCTCTGTGTTCCAGGTGTTGTGGACAGTGAGGATATACCCCTGAACCTCAGCAGGGAGCTGCTACAGGAGAGTGCCCTTATCAGGTAAGCGAGAGGTAGGTGCTGTGGACTGCTGAGGCTCTTCTGGCTTCTTGCTGGTTGAGGAGGGGACATTGTGGGGTAGTTAGAGAGGCTTGGAGGGACCTGGCGTGCAAGTTGCAGCATTTCCATCCTTGAGAATTTCCGTAGTCGCATTTCCAAGTGAGTTGTTTCTCAGCTGTGCTAGTCACATCTCAAGCTATGAGAGCAGTGTCCAGTGTCATACAACCTGCTGCCACCTGCTTGGGCCATGTGCCCCTCCTGTCCTAGGCTGCCTTTCAGTATCTCTGGTCTACGGCAGTAACAGTGGATTTGCTATTTAAAATGCCTGGTTTGGAAAACAGCACCAAACAGTAAGTCGGCTGTCAGCACTAGGAAGATGGGCTGTACTTTGGTGTCACCATTATTTATGTGTAGATCTCCAAACAGCACCTTGTGCCTCTTGTTACCAGATTTCCTTCAAAGCTCTGCTGTGCTCACTCACATATTTGTCAGAAATCAAGTGCCAGCCAGCAGGGCTTTTGTTTGGTGCTGAGGCCCAGTGAAGCTGGCTGCTGGCCGGCCAGTCTCTAAGAACCCCTTAGATCTGGCTTTGGTTTCTCCTTACTTTTTGTCCTTCAGGTCCCCTCTCAAACATCTGCCATTGTTGGAACTTGAAGGAAGTATATGGGTAGGCTCCAACTGGTTAGCGTTGGTGCTGTTATCTTGTTAGGTTTGATGGCTAACTTTGTATTCTACAGCTGGTGAAGTGCCTCAGTCTTCACTACAGTCACCAAATTAACCCTGCCATTTCACAGTGGCTTTTCAGGAGTTCAGAAAGGGTTCCTCCAAGAGTAACCCTTTTAAAGCCACTTCCTCCCTCTGTTTAAGGGTGGCTGTGGGAGTGAGGCAGATGCCAGGTGCACATTGGTTATGTACTGCAGCATCATTGAGTCACGAGTTCCCAAAGATTTGAGCTTCAGCAGTACGTTTGTATCACAGCTCTAGCTGTCGCTGCAGCTCAAGAACTGCTCTTGACTGAGATACAAAGAACAGATGTAGAGCCACGAGGGAATGGAGACAGTGGACCCCAAGTTTCTTCTTTGTCCTCATGTTTGCAAATGCATTACTAAAACACTGCTAAGGAGAGAGATGTTCACCTAAAATCTCTTGTCTTGGTCTAGCAGCTATCTTTAAAAACGCTTGCTCCTGCTGCAGGAAGCTCCGAGATGTTTTGCAGAAGAGGTTGATCAAGTTCTTCATTGACCAGAGCAAGAAGGACCCTGAGAAATATGCCAAATTTTTTGAGGACTACGGGGTATTCATGAGAGAGGGGATTGTCACGATAGCAGAGCAGGATGTCAAGGTACCAGGAGTCCTGAAGCACTGCAGCTGATGGGAAAGATTACTGGCTCCTATCATGACCTAGGATGAGGGGGACTGCTACTTCTCTGTGAATGTCACGTGCCCATAACTTGTGTTCCCGGGTCTAACAAGACCTGCAGATTCTCTAGGGCCCAAACTCTCACTCTTTCTGACTGGGTGCTGCTTCCTACTTAATTTGAGACACTGCAGAGTCTCTGTATGCACCCTGCATTGTCAGCCCTCCCTGATGCAATCTGAACTACAACAGACAATAAAGCAGGGCTTTCCCCTACTGTTGTCCTCTGCCTGGATTCCCATTTTCAGGAGAGCTTGCCCTACATCCTGCCTAGGTCACTTTTCTGTCTCCTTAATATTTGGAGCAGGAAAGGAGGAACTCAGAATCCCCTGAGCCTTTTTGCAGGGCTGCAAACAGGCCTGCATGCTACAAAGGACATTCTTGGGGCTGGGAGCGGTCAGGTGGGGCTATGGTTGCCTGCCCTCAGCTCACAGGAGCACATTTCTTCCAGGAGGACATAGCAAAGTTGCTCCGTTACGAATCGTCCGCCCTGCCCGCAGGTCAGCTGACCAGCCTGACCGACTATGCCTCCCGCATGAAGGCAGGGAGCAGAAACATCTACTACCTGTGTGCGCCCAACCGGCACCTGGCTGAGCACTCCCCATACTTTGAGGCCATGAAGAAAAAGGACATGGAGGTGGGTGAGCTGTGTGGCATGGCCAGGAGAACACCCTGAGCTACTGCGTCAGTGGTCAGGGCTCATGTGGATCTCAGAGCTGAGCAGGGCAGTGGGGCCCGTGACGGACCCCCGCTACTGCGGTGTCTTTGCCCCGGCTCCCTCTGTCTCCACTCAGACTGGCTGCTGCGGCGTGAGGCCAGGAAGGACCCGTCTCATGCTCTGAGCAGGCGGGTTAGTACTTGTGCAGGCATCTCAGTCTGGTATGTGTTGAATACCTTCACTGAATCCCAGAGCAGCAGCCTAGGAGCTGCTCTGCAGGGCTGGTAATGGAGCTACAGGTGTCCTCTGGGCAGGTGGCACTTTCAGGACTGGAGTCAGTGCTGGTTCTCACTTTCCACGGGGCAGCAGGACTTGTTCAGCTGCAGAGCTGTCACCCAAAGCCCTCCAAGGGTTTGCTCTCATCTGGGGCCCTGAGCGATGGGGTTGAACCTGCTCGTTTCCCTTGTGATGTTTGGTGCAGAGTTGTCTTGGGAAGGAGGAAACACTGTTGTGTCCCAAACAACGCATTGTTGCCCCTTTTTTGGCACAGGTCCTGTTCTGCTATGAGCAGTTTGATGAGCTGACACTCTTGCACCTTCGTGAGTTTGACAAGAAGAAACTGATCTCGGTGGAGACAGATATTGTTGTTGATCACTATAAGGAAGAGAAGTTTGAGGAGAGCCACCCAGGTACCGTGAGGCTCCCCTGGCCCTTCCTGCTGCATGCGCTCCTGCTGCCCTGTGCCAGCCAGCAAGGGTACACGTCCTCTGGTGCTCTTGCAGCTCCTGAGCGTGTGAGCAAGAGCGCTCCTTTCCATCCTGCCATTCTTGTACTCTGAACTTGCAGTTCTTGCAGATCCCTTTCATCCCACGTGATCAAAGTTTAAGCGATTTGGTAATTTAAACAGATGGAATGTCATGTGAGGAGTTTCCGTGATTTGAGTTTTAACAACTCGCGTACATCTGGTGCCCTGACAGGGGCAGGCACTGGCAGGGCATGAGCCTGCCCTCCCTGGGTATGGCACGGTGTAGGATGAGGGCGTATACGTAGGTGTGTCCTGAGCGGTGCCTTCCCCTTTCCACAAGAGAAGAGATAAATGGAAGTACAAAATGGACTGAGCTCAGGACTAAAGCTCGCTATAGATGCACGCTCAGATGTGCCCTTTTCCCCTGCCAGCTGCAGAACGTCTGACGGAGAAAGAGGCTGAGGATCTGATGGCCTGGATGAGAAATGCCTTAGGCTCTCGAGTCACTGGTGTTAAGGTAGGTGTTCTGTGTCTGGGTAACTGAATACAGGAGATCCATGGAGGTAATAATGATTGGTCGATTTGGGATCTGGTGCCACAGATTTTTCTTTGGACCCTGAGAGAAATCATTCTTCTCCGTGCTCCCTTTGTGTGAACGGTATGAATGCTGCATTTGTCATTTGGATGGTCAGCGTGGCAGTGGAAGAACCACATCTTAATGTGTAATGAGCAACGTCCAGGCTGGTAACTGTCTTGCCTGTGGACTAGAAAGGCTTATTGGCAAGGAGTGCTTTGGGTCCAGCTGCGAGCTACTGCCTGTGGACCAGCGGGGGCTTGGTGTGGATCTGTGCTGAGGAGACTCAGTCCTTGAACCTCTCCCACCTCTAACCCATGTGCATTTTCCATCTCGGCACTGACTGCTGTTTCGGCCACAGGTGACTACGCGGCTGGACACCCACCCTGCCATGATCACTGTGCTTGAGATGGGGGCTGCCCGCCACTTTCTTCGCATGCAGCAGCTGGCCAAGACCCAAGAGGAGCGTGCCCAGCTCCTGCAGCCCACCCTGGAGATCAACACAGGGTAAGGGGGAATAATACCAGTGCTAGTCCTGGGGCACTGCTGTCTTTCTGGGAGGCAGAGCGGAGGCAATGCCAGGTTGCCAGTCAGCAGAGCCCTCCCTGTGAAGTGCAGTGTGTGCTGCAGTGCCTTATTCTGTGAGGCTGCATGGTGCAGTCGACATGAGCCACCCACTCACACTGTGTCCAGCCCTCTGAGGACCATGGGGGTTACAGGGACAGGATGGGAGAGAAGAGGGAAGCCCCCAGAACAGGAGCAAGGAAGTTGGAGCTATTTTGGCCTTTAGGTAGAACCTTTTCTGTCACACCTCGGCTTAGCTGCTCATTATGGAAATAAATTTCTCGTTATGTCCAAAAATACCAAGTCTTAGTGTTGATCTCTCTCACTCTTACAGGCATGCTCTGATTAAGAAGCTTAACGAGCTGAAAGACAGTCAGCCTGATCTGGCCCAGCTATTGCTTGATCAGGTGAGAGCGAGGCCTTCTCCAGAAGCAGCACCGTCCTCCTCAGACACCATGTGTGGCATTGAACAGGGTGAAGCCCTTGTAGTGGGCAAGAATCACATCCTTCTGTGGTCCCCACTCTGGGTATTTCTGGTACCTGTGGTCCATGTGTTTTCCTACCAGATGGCCTAGAAGACATGCTTGGTCTCAGCATGCAAGTCCTGGAGAGTGACATTTGCTTCCTCCCCAGCTCTCATCCAGCTCGCTCTTGCTGCTTATTTAATTTCTTCTCTTTTTCAGATTTATGAGAATGCCATGATAGCAGCAGGACTGAATGAGGATCCCAGACCAATGGTGAGCCGGCTGAATGAACTCCTCACCAGAATCCTGGAGAAGAACTGAGCCCCAGAAGACTGAAGGATGAACTCTTTGCTGATCTGCTTGCAGACACTGTGCAGCGAAGGGTTCGCATGGCAGGGAGCCAGGGATAATGCAGGGGACTTCCAACCCTCGCTGCACAGGCAGGAGCCAGTTGTAATTATTAGATCGTATGTCATCAGCCTGTTCAAAGTACGATGTTCTTAGTGGGAACAAAATCCGGAGGTTGCTGCTAAAACAATATGCCCAAATTTTTGACACAAGCCTGAAGAGCCTTATTTCATACTGTTTCTAGAAAAGGCCTTTCCCAAAACAGATGTTGGCAGCAAGATTCCCAGTTAGGTCTGTGAACACATCGCCCCGTCCACTGAATCCCTGTGCACCATTGTGCTCCGAACAAGCACCGACAGAATTAATTAATTTGTTAAGAAACCTCCACCTCTGACCAGGCAGGAGGAGTTTGCTGGCATGGAGATTGATCGCTGCCATTAGCAGACACTGTTGGTGGAACATAGCAGTACAATCCCATGGCAGAAAAGATCATCAAGCTGCTGGATAATTGAGTTCATCCTGGTCTTGCTGTGGAGAAAGGGAAGTAAATGGGAAAACAGCTTTCCAGCGTGTGACTTTCTGGAGAGTCTCCAGGGTTTTTTGCCTCTTCTGTGGGATTAACTGCATGCCTAGCTGATCTGTATTTCTGATAAATAAACTACTCTTCTTTTCCAGACCCCTCTATTCTTCTTTCTTCCCCTTACTTTGTTGGTCTTTGTGTCTTCCAGATGGTGATTTGTTGGCTTTCTCTTCAGATGCTGCTTGGTTCTTCAGGGCATCAAGCTCTGGACAGTGGTGGGAAGAGAGGGCTGTGAAAACAGCAGTAGGTGGTAGCAGAGTGGGGAGGGAGAACAGGAGAATCTGTAACTATGAACCCCGTTAGCCCTGTCATTGAAAATGGAGTTTAGCCCTTTGGGTCCTTCCTAAGGAGCGATGGCCGTTCCACAGAAGAGGCCTTTGTAACGGAAAATGCCACACTAGATTTCCCTCTGGGCGTGGTTCACACCATGCGAACTGGTGTACAAGTGTTCTTTCTCCTGCTCAGTGGGGGCTCTGAGGCAGCCATGATACTTGTTTAGCTTATCTTTAAATTGCCAGATTAAGATTCTGGAACTGGATTTGGTCAGCTGTTTGGATGCTCTGCTGGACAGGACAACTTCCAGCTCTTTAAGCTACGGGAAGCCTGGCTGTGCAAAGAGGGATGAAAAGGGTCTGCTGCATGGGGTACCATTTGTCTTGGTTTGAAAGACAGGTGTCTGCGGAGGAAGGCAGGAGCCTCCCTTGAAATGGAAAGTGCAACCCCCTTCCCTCCAAATTATTATCATTTTGAAATTAACGGGCCTTCAGGCAAAGATATGGGGAACAGGAATAACAGTTCTTTACTAATATATATATAGTTTATATATTGGATATAATATAATTGAAGCAGCGATCAGGTAAAAGAGTCTGG